GGAGTGGCTGGTGGGTTTGAACCACCAGCCTTCTGGTTAGCAGTCAAATGCCTTAGGCACTGTGCCACCATCTTCGCAGAAGCAAAGCCCAAACCAGACTCACTACAGTGGAGTCAGATTCTGACCCACAGCGCCTCTAGAGGACAGAGTGGAACTGCACCACAGAGTCTCCAAGGCTGGGATCTTCAAGGAAGCAGACTGCCTCATCTTTCTCCCAGGGAGTGGCTGGTGGGTTTGAACCACCAACCTTTCAGTTAGCAGCCCAATGCTTTACCCACTGTGCCAACAGGGCTCCTTTAAGTGAGAGTAACATGTAAAACGAGATGGCTCGACACAGCGGCTGCATTGATGGGCTCAGGTATAGCAAGGATTGTGGGGTTGGCACAGGACTGGCAGTGTTTCATTCTGCTGTGCATGAGGTCACTGAGTTGGAGACAACTCGACGGCACTTAACAGCAACAACAGCAACATGTAAAATGTTCAGTGTAGAGAGAGTGCTCCATCGAAAGTCCCTGTTCTGATGGTGGAGATTCTCTTAACCAAATTGTCTACAGAAGCTTAAAATGCTGCGCACTCTTCTGACACATCTCGCGTCAAGAGGAGGGGCCTATACGCTTCCACATGACTCTGTGATCAGCCGAGAGAGTGTAAGTGACCCGTGACTTCTGAACAAACTCAAACAGATGAAGCAGCATCTGCTTTGTTCAACGGGACACTTGGTTGTGAGGCCGGCACCACCACGCTGGGAGCAAGCCCAACGGCCCTGAGGCTGCCATGCTGGGAGGGAGCCCCCGCCACTCAGGGGAACGTGCTGGTGTTCCACTTGGCCGCCCTGCTGAGCGCCTGGCTGACGGCCAACACCAACCACTGGACGTGTGAGAGAAGATGCTTCCAGACTGTCCTGGCCACCAACCATCAAGTCGTCCCTAGTGGTCAAGTCTTCTTATCTGAGACCCCAGACATTGTGGAGTAGAAACAAGCCTGTCTCTGGTCTGGATTCCTGACATAAGGAATGCATGAGCACAATACAGTGGTGGTTTTTTATTAAGCTGCTAAGTTTCGGGGTGATTTATTCGACTCAGCAGTAACTTGAACAAAAACTTTGTACTGGGATTAGGGTATTGCCCTAACAAAACCTAAAATGCAGTAATAGCTTTGGCAGTTGGCAAAACATGGAAGCTGGTAGTCACCTAGGAGATTGCCAGTGAGTGCTGGCAGGGCCTCTAAGAAACTGTTGAAGGCTGGAGGAAGGGAGACCCTTGTTATAAAGTGGTGGAAAGCTTAGCAAAGTTGACACGTGTGAGAATATGGAAAACGTATCTATGATTTGGCAGCTCTGGTGGCGCAGTGCCTAAGGCATCTGACTGCTAAGGCTGCAGTTCAAACCCACCAGCCACTCTTCGGAAGGAAGGTTGGGCAATCGACTTCTGTAGAGATACCGCCTTGGAAACCCAAGGAGGAGTCGCTATGAGTCGGGACCAACTCGACAGCAATGAGTTTGGTTTTTCTATGATCTAGGCAAGGCTATTTTTTGTCAGAGTATTGAGGATACTACCTGGATTTTTCTAGCTGCCTACAGAGAGAGACAGCTGTCGGTTTGTCCTACTGCGGTGACATGTAGACGTGAGTTTTGAGGCTGAGCCTCTGGTGTTTAAAACCCAGAGAGATGCACCTGGTGCACAGGTAACAGCCCAGCTTATAGACTGAGACAGACTAGGAAGAAGGAAGAGGCCGTCCACTTCT